TCTTCAAAAACTGTACATTTATACAAAAATATTAAATTTGTATCATGGGATCACTTTGTATGTATTGATTGGTCACGGGAGTGCAACCGATTTCATGTCGTCTAGTCGTGAGTGGAGACCGAATTCTATCTATCATATTTGCAATGTGGCAACCAAGCTAGGAAGCTCAGCATCGCGGTGCACATTAATAGATGTTATTTGGTTGGAGGCGATCGGCAGGAAGCCCTAGACCTAGGTTTCGTTCTTTTCGGCACTCGTCAGCAAGGCGTATCTGCAACCTCGATGGAACTGATGTCCCGCCTGAGATTCTAAGCCGCGTCACTCAGTGTTGTAGTCAGCGACTTTAGCACTTTGTATGAAAGTAAAACCTTTTATTTTGAGTTGAAATTATAAATTTAGATAGTGGTCAAGACTAATAACATTCTCTGACACTACATATCCTCTAGAAATCCTCCATTGCCTATTACTCCTCACCAAAGTTTCTCCTTACAAGACATATGTCAATAACACTACAGTGATTTGTGAAATGCATAAGGATATGCCTTGCCTACTAAGAAAACTTTACTCCTTACAAGCTCGTCTCAGTCTGATTTTTGAGTAAGGAAACAATAGTCATTTATCATTTTTTGATGTACTCTTGGGTCAGTGAGAACATGGTTCAATAAAGCCGTTAGTCTACAGTAAATCTAAATGGACAGGACAATATATGAATATTCACCAATTTCGTCCTATCCAATGCAATACAGGTCTGACGAAATGTCTGTCTAATAAGATCAGAGAACACCAAGGGACCATGACACTGCACAAATGATCACGTCACATCCCATTTGCCTACCACTTTATATATGTGTGTGTGTGTGCCGTCATACATACCTAGGTAGGAGTAATCCAGTAATCCAGTTGAGGGTGGGAGAACACGTACCTAAGTGACTTCGAAAACAAATAGAATGTGAAATTTTGATAAACGCAGATGGTAGACGCTCCTCTTCATCAATAGCTAAACATATTATAGAAACGGGTTACAAAATAATTGTTCAAACAGCTTTCAAAGTTTTCTATAACAACAGTCAAAGTCTCATACTAATATTTGCGGAAGCGATAGGCATATACAAAAGCAATTTGTTCTTACACTACACCTACCTTGGTAAACTTCGTTTTCTTACCAAGATTAGGATCATTTATGTCACTCTTCCTGTTTGAACTCACCTTTCTTGATTTTTATCACCACTTCAAGAAGCTCTTGAATCGATCACCACCTGCACTTCGTCCAGAAATACCACATACAGCCCAGCCGCTGAACTACAAGTGAACATAAATCCTCCAACAAAAATGGAAGTCCTGAACGCCATAAAGCTACGGAAATGCAGGAAAGCAGCAGGACCAGATGGGATCCCACCAGAAGCACTGAAAACAGATGCAGAGACAACTGCAGCGGAAATGCTCACACCACACCATTATTGCAGAAGGTGTGGAGTGAAGAGAAGGTACCTGGCTAGTGATTGGAACAAGGGTTACCTTGTCGAACTCCCGAAGAAGGGAGACCTCAGTGTTTGCAAGAACTGGTACGGAACCACTCTCCTGTCCACCCAAACCAAGCAAAATATTAAACCGCATCATCCTGGAGAGACTAAAGGATGCACTGGATTCAAAACCACGACCGGAACAGGCTGGCTGGATTCAGGAAGTACAAATCATGTGCCGACCAAATTGCTACACTACACTACGCATCATCATAGAACCCAGTATAGAATGGAAGTCAACTCAACTCCACCTCAACTTCATCCAATTTGAGAAGGCCTTTGACAGCGTCGACCGAGAGGTAATTTGGAAACTGCTTCAATACTACGGAATACCACAAACCTTTATCAGCCTCATTCAACAACTATATGAAGACGCGTGCCACATGCGAAGTAATTCACAATGGGAAGCTCAGTGATGCTTTTGAAGTGAATACAGGTGATAGGAGTGAAACAAGGTTGCCTACTATCCCCCATGATATTCCTGATTGTGGTCGACTGGACTGGATCATGCAGCAGACAGTGGGAGCGAGAAGAGGGGGATACACTGGACTGCGGAAAAGAACCTAGAAGATCTGGATTTCACCGATGACTTGTGCCTGATGTCACACAAACTTGAAGATCTATAGGCGAAAACTAACAAGTTGTCAGAAGAGGCGAGGCAGCGAAGACGGGACTTCAGGTGAATATAGAGAAGACAGAGGTGATGAAGATACCGCACCAACAACTCCAACAGCAACAACAAACTCCAACCACCATCAATGGGAGAAACTTAAAGGAAGTAACCTTCTTCACCTATCTAGGCAGCACTGTTTCATCTACAGGCAACAGCACAGACGAGGATGTCAAAGTCAGAATCGGAAAAACAGCAAGACAGGCGTTCATTAGCCTGAAACTAGTGTGGAGATCTTCTGCACTCTGCATGTGGAACAAGATCCGGATTTTCAACACCAACGTGAAGTCAGTGCTTCTGTGTGGTTCAGAGACTTGCCGGCGCGTCACGAAAGGGATTCACAATAAACTACAGACATTCATCAGCAACTGCCTACGCTCGCTACTGAAGATCAGATCAGATATCCAGAAAGAATAAGCAACAAGGAACTCTGAGAACGAACCAACCAGTAACCTATCACCCAACAAATATGCACCGGAATGAAGTGGAGATGGATTGGGCACACATTGAGAAGGCCGACTGAGGACATCACGCGTCAGGCCAGGCCGTCGAGTGGAATCCGCATGGGAAGCGACGAGTTGGGTGTCCGAGGTGAGGGTGACATGGAGGAGATCGTGCGAGGAGGAAATAAGAGCTTGTGGGCTGTCGTGGAGCCAGGTTGAAAAGATTTCAGAGAACAGAGTTCACTGGAGGCGTGCTAGTGAAGCCCTATGTTCCATAAGGAACCCAAGGGACTAATGATGATAAATAAAGGGTTATCCTAATTGTTCCATTTGTTCTTCCACTCTTTGGTTTCATCCAAATGACATGACAAGTAAATGTCTGTGGTCAGATTGTTTGAAATGTAGCGCACTCATACATCGCACATTGTTCAGATAATCTTTTTCTTCTAAATACACTATATAGGTTCATGAAAGGGTTTAATTTTTGCAATTTTAAATCATAAAAATGACAACACAGCTCTTCCAGTACAGCTAAACAGTAAAATCCATGGGAAAATTTTTATGTTTATTCTACAGGTGGTGTAAGGTTTTAATTGATAGCTGTAGTATATTTATCATCTGACTTGGTTACGAAATCACTGCGTACAGGAATTACCTTCTTACCAGTTGTATGAACCCCTAGAGTAGACACGTCTCTATCTACCGTTTTCTTATTGTGAAGTGTATTCATCAAAACAGTTAAAAAAGTTTTTTCGTAAAAAATTATCAGTCTCTGACCAATGAATGATTGAAACAAAGTTTGTTTGATCGTTTTATGAGGAACTAATCAATACAAAAACAGTTTTCATGACAAAATGACATCACCTAGAAATTATTTGAAACCAAAGAACATTAGATAGATATTTGAACTGCTTAACGGAGGAATTATTCTCACTATCTACAGATATTGTGGTAGGCATGTGGTCTCAATTCAAGTCTTCATATTTTCCAACTCTAGCAGGTTTGTGATACATTTTGACCATCGTGTGATGTTAGTGATAGGTTTTTGACCTCATTTATGACGTAATTAGCGCCTTGTATCACAACTTTAAGGGATTTATAGTAAGCATAGCCACTAGCAGGAGCCAAACTATTGTTCAACTGATTGATTTGTGTGAAAGCAGTCAATTTGCATGTAGTTTTCATGACAGTGATGTCAATAAAGCAAACTTTATGAAACTGCTTGTTGAAACTTTGCAGATGACCACCACTTCTAGAGTGAATGAGGTGTATCATGAATTCAGCCGTGCTCCGGAAAGAAAATTACTATCCATCTTGACATAAAATTTCACCTTTCAGGTTTAGAGAAGTCCATTCACAAATCTGAAATTTTTAGTCATCAACTTTTGTAGCGTCTATTCTAGGTATATCTGAATCTGAATAATGACTGAAGGTGGAATGGAAATTTGAACCATGACCGCAGTCGAACTAGAGACAAACAGGTTTCCTGCCCCGTGCTCTACCAACTGAGCTATGAAGTCTAATTTCTGACCAGATTTTTATTTCACTTCAATCATCAAGAGTTTTGGCCGACTGCCATGGGAGTTTAAAACGTGTAACTATCGCTTGATTGTACTCACACTGAAAGCCTAGTCAGGACTGCTTATCCCAATCCAAATGCAATTGAATTGAAGAGGGGGAGCATCATACTGATTGTCATTTTGATTATCTGTAACAGCTGTGGTTTTGCAGACTATTACTGACACTGCTTGACTAGGCGGTCAGTGTGAGTATGATCAAGCGATAGTAACACGTCACGAATTCATATGGTAGCCGGACAAAACCCTTAGTGACTGAAGTAAAATAGAAATCCGGCCAGTAGTCGGACCTTATAGCTCAGTTGACAGAGCACCGGCAAGAATCCCAGTGGTCGCTAGTTCGAACCCGACCGCGGTCCAAACTTTCATTTCACCTTCGATTATCAGCCAGTAACAATACCAATTAGCCAAACCACGGCTATTTGAGATAGTCAAAATGATATCTGAACCTATCAACTTAGTTACTTAGGGTATCTACTGGCTATCTAGATAAGTAAAACTTTGCTTGAATTGCGTCCTTACCAATGGTTAGGATAGATAAGTGAGACGACCAAACATCTGAAATCCTTTGTTGTGATAACTTTACAACAACCTACAGGTTCGTACATTATGATTAGTATGCATGGTTAAGAACTTCTGTTCAGAATACTACGTTAAGTGGTGCCTTATTGGTAGAATACCTGTTCTTTGCCATCTTTTTTCAACAGTGAAATCATGCACACTTGATTTAAAATGTCGAAACTCAAGTTATTCATTTCTTTCACTCCTTTTCACACTTTTATCACTTCAGGTATTCCTGACGTCTTGGATCCAGATGCAAATGGTGATGGTATACCAGATTGTCGTCGTGATGGAGGTCTACACTACAAATTAGTTAAATCACCATCCGGTCTAATTAAAAAGGTGTTGAGAATACGTGAACCAACACAAGAAGAACAGCATATGGCATATATGGTGAATGAAGCCAAACGTAAATTAATACGTATACGCGCTAGACTAGGTGAACCAGTACCAAAGAATACAATACAAGCAGTTCCTTCTGTTGCCTTCAAAATAACTACGAGGACAATCCTGATAGTTCAAATAATGATAATCATGGCAGTGAAAAGAAGTCAAAAGTTAAGTCAGTTCCCGCAAAACTTGGTCAGTCAAATTTGAATGTAAAAAATGATCATTCACATACACCTACAACTTCTAAACACTCATCCAATAATAAACCAGCTAACACTGGTACTGTGAACACAAAGAAAACAACAACACAAGGAACAAAAATCAATCCATCTTCTGTAAAACAACAACCACCATCACCGTCAAACAATGAACATGGTGTAAAGTCAACAAATAAACGACAAAATCGTAAATTGGCAAGTTATGTAGCAACTGAACACATTGACCCATTCTATGCATTGAATAAAGATATTTTACTTAATGTTCAAAGTTTTGACAATGATATCGATGACAGGGATGAAGAAGATGACGAGACAAGTATTAACTTAGCTGAGCCGAATTTAAAAACTTCAGTTATTGGAAGTTTTTTACTACCTGGAGCAGCAGCTGATGAAATGGCTGGACAACGTAAAACAAAACCACTGAAAGTAAAACAGAATGAAGTTTCACAGCCAATGACGAATGATAAATTAAAGGCTAAAAAACAGAAGGTTAGAAGAGTATCAAAGTAACTTGTTCTCTTGTATAATTCTTACTTTTATGGAATTGACAGTTTTTAAAAAGACCAGTAGTCTGATGAAGAATCGCATAACACGATTATGCAAACTGTGTCACATTAGTCTAGACAGATGATTTCCAACCGTGGATCACGGGATTGCAGTCCACTTCATCTACCAAGGGTTAAAAAGTATCTTTATTCTCTACACAATAGATATTATCAATTCCTTATTATATATAGGTATACGTGTAATTGCTAAGAAAGTTTTGTCTTCTTCACAATCAATTAAATAAATTTCACATCAACTTCACAAACCTTTGTTACTTAGACCAGAATGGTGTAAATAGCAGACTTATCCTATGCTGGTTTTATGGTTGAACTCAACACCCAAACAGCTGACTTAATTTATGATTGATGATTGAGGTGATTTAGCCCTTTTGAACAAACACTTATAAGATGGAATGGTTTTTTAAAGATTCCCAGATTTCCATTAGTTTTTCACTTGCTATACACTCACTAATTGGGTATTAAAAAGTGCTCCGAAACTGATTTTTCCTAAATGTTTTCTCTTGAACACAGATGATGATAATGATAAGACGAATAGACAGAATCAGCCTATAACCTCACAAACAAGTGCATCGGTTCAAACTGCTACACTTCAAAGTAGTACATAAAGAACAAGTGAACAGAAAAGAGTGATAATCATTGTAGACAAAGATGTATGACAGAATAGGTTAGTGTAAATATTCAAGGTTTAGAAGACGTCAAGAAGTGAATATATCTGCGCCACTGAGACCAATTTTCAGCCATGTCACTAAAAGTTCCTATAGCCTTGTGAACCCCAGACAGGTAATCTACATCTCCCAACCTGCTCTAGATCAACAATCAGGAACTTCATAAACTGGTGTCACGTCTTGGCTTGGCCACCCTGATTATGATTATGTTGACTAATGACAAATATTACTCATAATTTGTATAGTATATAGTTTAACTGATAGCAATAACTTATACCGCTGCATATTACCATTACTATGAGTAAATTATTGAGCGACCTGGTTCAACAGAACAACGTAGAACTGTTGGTTATTTCCTGTTTCCACACGTTTGGTAAACAAAATGGCTTCATTATCACTCTAGAAAGCATCTTCAATAGAAGCTTCCCATAAAAATGACCGTAATAAAGTTTCCGTTTGTATTTTTAGATAAGAAACCAATCATCAAAATATAAAATCTCTTATTCATTCAGTAAGCTGATTTTTAATACTAACGATCAATTCAATTTAAATTAATTAGAGCACAAAATTAGTTCACTTTTATAAAATCCAAAGTGAAGAAAATGTTTTTCTGGAAATAACTCCTACTTCTGCATTGAGACATTTACCGCCAAACTACTTTAAGGACCTATCTGAGCCGATGAGTTCCCTGAATGTCTGAGTACGGAACGACAAAAAAGTAATGAACAGAGGGGATGTAATTAAAAGTGACAATAGCAGTAGAAACTCGAAGGAAAAGACATAAATCAGTGATTTGAAACAATAAACATAAATACAGACCTTCTATGAAGATGAATTTAGTTTGTTCTTATATCTTAGTAGCCTAGTGGATGAGCCTCTAGATTTTGAAGTGATGGCTACTGAGTTCTAGTCCCAGTTAGAAGATGACTATGCTAAGATACATGCACGGCCGGCTGATGAGTCCAAACTAGGACGAAACCTGTGTCCTGCATTTCACTGCTAGTCATCACTAAGGGAATGGAATATCTCTCAGCTGATCGAACTCCTTTTTATCTGGAAAATGCTAAATCTCATGTGTACATAGTGTTATTGTTTTGGCATGCATATATATATATATATATATATATATATATATATATATATATGTACTGTTAAGTTAGATCTTGTTTTACCCAAAGTTCAAAGGTAGTATTCACCACGGACTGACATCAGTTGGTGAACCACTGGAAATCTGGGAGCACTGAACAGCTGTTTCGTCCTAGTATGGGATTCCTCGTCAGTATGCACCCACGACCAGGCTAGGGATCGAACTCAGGACCTTCAGGTTTTACGGTAAATGCTGTAACCATTCAGCCTTTGTATCGGTTCCCAGTGGTTCACAATTTCCAACTTCTGTCAATTCACAATATAGGGTGACTATCACCCAAGGTCTTCAGTTGGCATCCGCTTCACTTCCGACTGACTGACTTCACAGGTCACGGCTTCTCATTGAAGCTTCGCGATATCCATCTGGAAGCAAGTCACTAATTAGCACTATACAGTAACGTATTTTTGAGATGAGTATCATGGAAACGGTGAACCACTGAAAACCGACCCAGTGGCTGAATGGTTACAGTGTTCACCGTGAAACGTAAAGGTCCTTAGTTCGATTCCTGGCCTGGTCGTGGGTGCGTACTGACGAAGAATCACATGCTAGGACAAAACAGCTGTCCAGTGCTCCCAGGTTTTCAATGATTCTCCAACTGATGTCAGTCCATGATGAATACTACCTCTAAATTAAAAATCCCCATTTATCTCAAAAATATATAAATACTATTGTAAAGCTTTGGATAATGATATCGTCAAAAAACTACGCGCAGCAGCCTATATCCTAATAGAAACCGACTAATTGTGTCCACTCAATGGTGGGATAATAAAAGCCACAACATTAAAACTATACCTGTTGCTAAAGAAGTGGGTATCGTGGCTCGGTGGTCTAGTGGATAACGCTCTGGCGTTTGAAGCAATTGGTGCCTGAGGGGGACAACACTGTTCAGTGGGAGGCAATATACATCCAGCTGACGAGTCCTGAATAGGGCAAAACATACATCCTGGATTCCAATACTAGCCACTATCCATCAGTGATATACTGACTTTATTTTCGATAACTGTATGCAGAATAATATTTCTTTCTTCTACCAAATAAGCAAATTGGTTATTGTTACAACTTCGACCGTACCTTCTGATCAAGTGATTTTCTAGTTCATCTGTAACTCTGTCTGAGTACATGAATAATTTTGGATTCAACTTATTCTCACTTCACACACAGACTATGCATAAGATTATCATCTCCGAGTTCCATTCAAAAGACGACAAAACTGTTACTCACTAACCTTCCTTTTGGTGAGTCATGTCCATATGCAACTGAGTTATTGGCTGAACGTATGCTAGGAATTAAGAAGAGTTTAAATAACTGATTTATGCATAAGAAAGTTCATGAGTTGAGCTTTTTAAATGTTTTTACCAAATAACTATAATTATCCAACTAACCATAGCTGTCTCAGAGTTTTATTTTATTTTCTTCCATCAGGGTAACAGTTTTCTCGTATTCATTTACGTAGTTTCTCTAAAAAAAATAATTGTGTACCTCAGTATAGATAGATAGACAGACAGACAAAATGAGTTCATGACCTTGCCCACAAGAGTATCGCCTCAAGTTGCACACTTCACAGTGTGTCGAAAAAGAATTATATCGAATTAGACAAAGAAGGCCTTTGTATAAATTACATGAAATCTGTTATATTTAATAGGAAAAGCTTGATCAAAATTGTTCTATCTCCTAATAAAGCTGAACACTTAACGAAATTAATCACGTGCTTTCTGAGTCATAACCGCATATATTCATGAAAGCTTAGTAACAAAATCATTTGACTACCAATCAAACCAATCATACTAACCAATACTTAGTCCAATCATTTAAGTTACCATCATTTCAACTTCATCCACCCACCCACAAAATGGAGTGTTTCGATGACTAGTATTTGATGCGTACGAAATTTATGCTAGTGCTGATATTGATAAGGATCTTAAAAAAACAACTGAGTAGTCGCAGAAAGCAATATACTGTACTCACAACAACATTATCACCCAAAATTTGTATTGAATCAAATTTGATGAATTTTAGCTTCAAGAAAGGCATGGTATATTGATAACCCATAAATGTCACCAGTAAAATTCTCTCTTATGACCTTGATAGTGATTGGTCACCGTCAGTAATCTTGGTATCAGTAAAATTCTACTTGACCATTTCTATAATCTGACATTTAAAAGATGTATGTACTTGCCTAAAATAAATTAAACTAACCAAAATAAGGTTCATAAGACAAGATTGATCAACCAAAGATGTGCATGCTCGAACTGCACTGTTTAAAAGGTATGCATTGAAAATTTTAACCGTTATGTAAGTAAATAAGGAATGAAGTTTGGATAGTAAAATCTAGTCAAAATAACCTTCCATCATATTTAGTAGCATGACAGTTAGTACTTTCAAAGACTCAAACTCAAATAATTTTTGCTATTTCTTTTCCTCTGTTGAATTAGGTAAATAAAAATAACAAAATTGAAATATCTTCAAAATCCAATAAAAAGAAAGAGGCTTGCGATGCTCGTTCATGTCAAAATTCTAACGAGAACAAACATCCTCATCCAAAAGATACAAAATATTCAAAGTCAGCATCTATCACCGCTTATTTGCATGAAGATGATGATTATGACGACGAAATCTCTGTAGACTCTGATGGAGACGGAATACCGGATTACTTAGAAGACGAAGATGGTGACGGGATTCCCGACTACCTGGAAGATGAAGATGGAGACGGCATTCCTGACAACCTGGCAGGCGATTCAGATGGAGATGGTATTCCCGATTATCAGGAAGATGAAAACGAAAACGGCATTCCAGATTATTTAGAAGATGAAGATGAAGACGGAATACCCGATTACCTTGATGGGTGTGTTCACAGCAAAAGTAAAGGTAAGTACACTTTGGATAGAAATGCAGATGGAAATTATGATTATCTAGAAAAAGATTCAGATGAAGATGGTATTCCAGATTATTTAGAAGATGAAGATGAAGATGGTATACCAGACCATCTGGAAGGTGATTCCGATGGAGATGGAATCCCTGACCATCTGGAGGATGAAGATGGTGATGGGATACCAGACTATCTGGAGGACGACGATGGGGATGGCATTCCCAACTACCTCGATAAGAGACATGACAAGAGAGTTGTCAAAGTCCCCAAACACATTGACAAGGATGGAGATGGAATTCCAGATCATCTGGAAGGTGATTCCGATGGAGATGGAATCCCTGACCATCTGGAGGATGAAGATGGTGATGGGATACCAGACTATCTGGAGGACGACGATGGGGATGGCATTCCCAACTACCTTGATAAGAGACATGACAAGAGAGTTGTCAAAGTTCCCAAACACATTGACAAGGATGGAGATGGAATTCCAGATCATCTGGAAGGTGATTCCGATGGAGATGGAATCCCTGACCATCTGGAGGATGAAGATGGTGATGGGATACCAGACTATCTGGAGGACGACGATGGGGATGGCATTCCCAACTACCTTGATAAGAGACATGACAAGAGAGTTGTCAAAGTCCCCAAACACATTGACAAGGATGGAGATGGAATTCCAGATCATCTGGAAGGTGATTCCGATGGAGATGGAATCCCTGACCATCTGGAGGATGAAGATGGTGATGGGATACCAGACTATCTGGAGGACGACGATGGGGATGGCATTCCCAACTACCTCGATAAGAGACATGACAAGAGAGTTGTCAAAGTCCCCAAACACATTGACAAGGATGGAGATGGAATTCCAGACCATCTGGAAGGTGATTCCGATGGAGATGGAATCCCTGACCATCTGGAGGATGAAGATGGTGATGGGATACCAGACTATCTGGAGGACGACGATGGGGATGGCATTCCCAACTACCTTGATAAGAGACATGACAAGAGAGTTGTCAAAGTCCCCAAACACATTGACAAGGATGGAGATGGAATTCCAGATCATCTGGAAGGTGATTCCGATGGAGATGGAATCCCTGACCATCTGGAGGATGAAGATGGTGATGGGATACCAGACTATCTGGAGGACGACGATGGGGATGGCATTCCCAACTACCTTGATAAGAGACATGACAAGAGAGTTGTCAAAGTTCCCAAACACATTGACAAGGATGGAGATGGAATTCCAGATCATCTGGAAGGTGATTCCGATGGAGATGGAATCCCTGACCATCTGGAGGATGAAGATGGTGATGGGATACCAGACTATCTGGAGGACGACGATGGGGATGGCATTCCCAACTACCTCGATAAGAGACATGACAAGAGAGTTGTCAAAGTCCCCAAACACATTGACAAGGATGGAGATGGAATTCCAGACCATCTGGAAGGTGATTCCGATGGAGATGGAATCCCTGACCATCTGGAGGATGAAGATGGTGATGGGATACCAGACTATCTGGAGGACGACGATGGGGATGGCATTCCCAACTACCTTGATAAGAGACATGACAAGAGAGTTGTCAAAGTCCCCAAACACATTGACAAGGATGGAGATGGAATTCCAGATCATCTGGAAGGTGATTCCGATGGAGATGGAATCCCTGACCATCTGGAGGATGAAGATGGTGATGGGATACCAGACTATCTGGAGGACGACGATGGGGATGGGTTACCAGACTATCTGGAAGATTCAGACGGTGATAGTGAACCAGATGTTTCATATGACGATGATTCCGCTACACAGTTTTCAGCATCTAAACATTCATTACCGAAGAAACATAGAGATATTAATAAAGATGGGATTCCTGATTACTTGGAAGGTGATGAAGATGGAGATGGTGTACTTGATTATAAGGAAGACTCAGATGATGATGGAATACCTGATTATCTAGAGGATGAAGATAACGATGGAATTCCGGATTACTTGGATAATACGTTTAGCCCCAATCGTATGACTAAATTAAAAATCGAAGATATTAATCGAAATGGTATCCCTGATCACTTGGAAAATGATTCAGACTATGATGGTGTTCTTGATTATTTAGAAGATTCAGATAAAGATGGTATACCAGATTATTTAGAAGATACAGATTCAGATGGTACACCGGATTATATGGATGAAGATGCAGTGAGTCAGTTCTCACCGAGAAAAATACGCGGTCGGGTAACTGGCAAAAAATTTGCTGATGCTGATAAAGATGGTATACCGGATCATTTAGAAGGTGATCTAAATCACAATGGTATCAGAGATTATCTTGAAGACACAGATAATGACAATGTACCAGATTACCTTGAAGACTCTGACAATGATGGTATACCAGACTACTTGGATGAAGATGCAACAACGAAATTTTCACCTAAAGTTTTAAGAAAATTAAAGCCTACGAGATATTTCGCTGATATAGATGGTGATCATATACCAGATCATTTAGAAGAAGACAATGATGGTGATGGAATTCCAGACTATCAAGAAGATACAGATAACGATGGTATACCGGACTACTTAGAAGATACTGATAGTGATGGCATACCAGACTACATAGATGAAGACGCTACAACACAATTTTCGCCGAGAAGATATCGTAAATTACGTTCAACAATGAAATTTGAAGATGATGATGGGGATGGTATCCCGGATCATTTACAGGGTGACTCAGATGGTGATGGTGTTTTAGATTTTCTTGAAGATAGTGATGGTGACGGTATACCAGATTATTTAGAAGATGCCGATGGTGATGGTGTACCAGATTATCTGGATGAAGATGCCAGTAGTCAATTCTCACCAAAACATTTTACTGATAAGAATAGGGATGGTATACCAGACCATCTAGAAGGTGACTCAGACGGTGATGGTATACCAGATTATCTTGAAGATACTGATAAAGACGGTGTTCCAGACTATTTGGAAGATTCAGATCACGACGGCATACCAAATTATTTGGATAATGATGTTGTTGACGTTGAAGTGGAAGCAGTTATTGAAGCCTTCGATAAAGATACCAATAACAATGGTATACCAGACTACTTGGAAGACTGGGATGGTGATGGTAAACCCAACTATCTAGAAGATGAAGATCATGATGGTATTGCAGATTTCTTGGACAAGAAGGATAATCGTTTATTAAGGTTGAATAAAAAGAAAAAATCTAAACATCAGAAATCAAATGATAAAAATGCTAATTTTATCCCAGATCATCTAGAGATTGATTTAGATGGAAACGGTATCCCAGAATATAAACAAGATTCTGATTCTGATGGTATACCAGATTATTTAGACGAAGATTACCACCATAATAATATTGCAAAATCATCAAAAAAGAAAGGTAAAAGCAAAGCTTCAAATAAAATTGAAATGATCAATATGAAACAAGATTCTAATGGTGATGGAATCCCAGATTATTTGGATAATGATGTAAATGGAGATGGTGTACCAGACAATAAAATTAAATGTACGTCCAACTTTTCTGTTAAAGTATTATTCTTTGTATTAATTGTTGTTTTAATCCTTTAAAATTGTTAGGTTAAAAATAAGCATTTAGAAAACAGTTTTTCAACTCATACCTCTTTCATCAACTGTTATCTATTCTAAAAATCGAATTATCAAGATAGTGTATAATTTTTTTGAAAACAAGTTTTATCCTTTTCGATAATCATAGATATCAATGTCATATATATATATATATATATATATATATATATATATATATATATATATATAGAACAAGATACTCGGAGAAGTCAATAGAGAAGAAGAGTACTACTAATATTAAGGTCAACTGCTAAATTACGCTTTACGATTTACAATTTTAGACTGTACAGAATACAATAATGATATAGGTTGTAATTAATTAAAGTTTATTTTTATTTCTAACTAACTTTAGACTAAAGTTTGCTTTAAATGGTATTCTTTAGTAGGCTAGGCGCGAAAAATTGAAGCATATGAGTTTATGAAATATGAGTAAAAACAAGGAGATGAAACGAATTTCTAAACTTGTTTTTCCTTTTAGTCATTTCATTATATAAATAGGTTGATAGCTATCACCTGTATTACTCTTCAGTTCTCTAGTATTCTCTTCTGAAACGGGTTTGTACAAACAAGCTATATTTTTTTATGCTATTGCTTGTATTATCCCATCGTTGATTCAGTCGAATTGATCGGTCTCTGGTAATATACTAATTACACCCTTCATACAAGAAGTGGTTATTGTGACTCAGTGGTCTAGTGGATAACAAACATTCTGGCGTTTGAAGCCATAGGTTCGGACTTTAAGTTTCAGTGGGAACAACGCCGCTCACTGAGAACCAGGTACATGCAGGCGACGAGTCCCGAATAGGACGAAACGCGCGTCCTACATTCCATTACTGGCCACTGTCTATCACTAATATATAAACTTTGTTTTTGTTGTTAAACAAACCATTTCAGTTCAACTGATCAGTAAGTCTGCATAGATTTATCAGCCTGTCTAGGTAAGCAGAAATATCCGGTGACAAAGTTAACTGGAGTGAACATAGTTAGGTAACTTTACACTGTTTTAAGTTTCAATAAGAAGGTATACATTACGTCTGCCTTAAGCACTGTTAATTAAAGATTAAAATGCTCCAGTTTAATTCTGTAAAGCGTTTTATTGCTTCTGATTGACTGACGACTGATGAGAGTTCAGCATAAATGCATAGTGTGTGACCATTATTTGTCTTCGCCTATAGGACTGATTAGATGTCCGAATTAACATCAAAGTTCAGTATTCCAGTTTGCCTGACTATGACATACGGTAGCTGAAGGTAGACGATATCAAGAAACTCTATGTATTCCACCAATAGATGTTTCTGAAGCAATGCTTGCACCTTACGGACCAACCAAATTTGAAGTAAGGTATAGGGAAGTTTTCTCACCAGAAGGGTATATGACTCTATTAGCTTGTACATTTGCACTCACAGCTAAGGCTGCAAATCTTATACTCACTAGTCTGAGCCCCTTTTGTCATTTACACTCATTTCCGAGAAGCTAACTGTAGTAGTTGTTATTATATATCGATACTTGTAGCTCCCGTTGTTATAAAGGGACCGAATTGATCGTCCTCGGTTGACATATGACCTCCTATTCGGGCACCTCGATTTTACCCGAAATATTTATTGTAATGAACGACTTGGTTTCGGTTAGTGGTGGGATCTAGGACTCACATTTCGTCTTATTTGGAACTCATCAGCCGGGAGACCTTCACACCAGTGAGTGATGATCCCGCTGGGACTTGAACCGTTTACCCATCGCTTCAAATGTCAAAGAGTTATCCACCAGGCCAATGAGGCACCAAGAATGACCACAACAATTACAAAAATAACTATTTAGGTAGTATCTAGACATTTGCATACAAGCCCATACGCCAACAGAGGTCGATCAATTTGATATAGTATAAGAACGGGGAATTACAAAGCATCAACATATCATAATAACCAATACCTATTATACAAAAAGTGGCTATCGTTCCTCAGTGGCCTAGTATAAAACGCCTATGGAATTGTAGTGATGAGCACAGAGTTCCAGTCTCAGCTAGAACACCATTACTCATTGGAGTACACGTACATCCGGCTGAAGAGTCCCAAATAATATGAAACACACTCTGGATTCCACTGTTGGCCACAACCGAGGCAATTACAGTAATTATGTTCTGCAATACAACTTTCTTCTTGCTAATATGAGGCCATCTACCATAAATTGACGAAGTACTGACAAACTGTTACAGTAGTATAACCCATGTACTCAGGTTTTATATAAAAATGTTTAAAGAAGCTAGATACTGGCCGGAGACAGGTGAATAAATGCTGAAGGATAATAACATTTTTATCGCAACATTAAAAAAGAAATATTATGTAGGCGAAACGTGGTACTAAAAGACACCAATTGTTGCTGATAAGTGTGAAAAGACTTATAGCAGCTCTCATCAGCTAGATTCACGTTATCCAACCATTTGGTGAAAAATTAATTCGTTCACAACAAAGATTATCAGTGATGAGACTGAACACTTATAGCTTGGATGATTAGATTGTTCAAATCATATGGATTTGGACAATTTTCTTTGAATGAATAAATTCGTTTACGCTTGCTGCTAGGAACCTCAATTTCAAACGAATCAGACAACTTTCCTGTTTACAGATAACTATGAGTTGATTGACAATCCCTTAGATAACCGATCCAGGTAGTAAACAACTACTGAAGACATTTAGGTAATTCCATTTCTTTAATTGTGATATTTCTCTTCTGGAGGTTATATTCTGTAGTAGTGAAGTTACAGTGAATAAACAAAGCATCACTCATCTATCAGAAATATCGATGTGGACTTTTAACTTTGTGAAAAGTTTGAACATCACTTCTATACAACATGATTACTAGATCTTCGAAAAGGAAATACACTCAGGAACTTAGGGAAAATCTATGCAATAAGCAATGAGCCACACTTATTGTATGCAAGTTAATAATGCTACCTGGCTGCTGGTGGAATGTAGTTCGAACCCACTACCCATTGGTTAAAGGTTAACTGCCTAAACCAATGAGCGACAGCTTCACAGATATGTAAATATCTAGTGTTCAAATCCTACAGAATCCATCCACTTCAAGATTTTTATTCAACAGTGTAAGCACAGTGTTTAGTATCTTCTGCATTTCAGAATTCGTTGGAGTTGTATGGATTGTTAATAATTAAATGCCTTTAAATTTACCAAACTCAAGGATTGATTCGATTTGCCAATAGTCAGTTGTTGGTGGAATGAAGTACTAAGTTTGAGTCAAGGAATTGAGAAATTCTGATTAATCTTTTTAAAATACTTATCATTAATTGATACTTTTTTTCAAAACCTTTTTGAAAACTAAGGTTTGCTCCAGACTTGTTTTACCCTACTCTGTGACACATTAGTAGTACACTCGCTTAACCTCTCTTGAAATGAAACATATAACCTTCAGGAGCTTTGATAATCACTGAGTCCTACTTTATTACTTAACATTGCCATTTTTGGTCAGTTTCTAGTATTATCTGCCATTGTCTGCAGGACCACATTGACTCCAGAGAATGAAAATTAGCATTATTACCTTAATCCTTAACCGTGTCGACTTTTTATTTCTCTAAACGCTGAACCATCGCAACTATTCTAGGCGTGCTGCTTGTGGCTGTAGAATACTATCCTCTTTCATGTAGGTTTCGATATTCATATTTCACTAACCTTGTAGAGATGTGTAAAGATAGGCAGTAAGCTACTTCTAATATGTAAGCATTTACGTTACCACCCGAAAAGACACAGGTTGGATCGTTTCGAACTCGCTATCTGACAGTTGGTGGTTGAATGTCTAGATAACTCATCCATAGATATACATAGAAACTTAGTGTAGGTCGTAAACTGAAATCAGCGAACATTCTCTCAATCAGTTTGGTAAAGACAACATTTGTTAAGTAACGACCAGGTAGAGAAGTTAGATGGAGCAGCGGAGGTTGATACCGCAAAAATTACTATCGGCAATAAAGTTACCTGAGCAAAGATTTTCCTTTTCTGAATCTACGCGTGCAGTATTATTGAAGTCTATAGTTCTACATGATATTTGACTTTTTCCCTCCCGAATATTTAATAGTCTATCGTTATTACTTCCTGGATTTTCCGATGTTACACTGCATTCTACTCACGTACATTTTTATAAATAGGTTTCACTATATATGTACTAAAAACAGTGCGACTAATATGTAGTGAGAAGTAGTGCATACCTAAAAGCTAAAGAAAGGAAGTGATAAACCAGAGTTTATTATAACCATTAGTTTATCTCAAGACATATCGAAATTCAAACTTTCTACTCTAAGAGACGAAACTATGGATTCAATGTTTCCTCCGAATTCCGGTTACGTTTCATCTGACTGTGGATGATGCTATTGATTTTCTTTTCTTTATTAGCCATACTGTCCAACTTGATCTATGTACTTCTACGGCTGCTGCGAAACGACATCGGCTAGTATCAAATCAATTATCTATGTGGTAACTTGTATTATTTGAGGAAAGAACTTGAGGACAGATGATATTTTGCATTATCAGAGGCTGATAAGAAACTGACAAAATCAAATGCTGTTATTGTTGCGTTATTCAACATAGACAATAGAGTTTCATATCTATTATAATACTGTGTTCAATAAAGCAAACAATTACTCAAATGTAGAATAAGTTTCCGCTTTCTTTTTTTGCTGTACACTTTCAGTGGTTGATCAAAATCATAATGGTATTCCAGATCATTTAGAATTAACTGATTCAGACAATGATGGAATTATTGATTTGTACGACGATGATGATGACAATGATGGGATTCCAGATGATGAAGGTATTTCGCACTAAAATATTAATGTCATAAAAAAACATACGCAAAAAAAGAATGCTTCCCCCCATTTGGAAATGCGCTACAAATTGATGCTGAATGGCTTAATAGTATTATGCATTTGTATACTCCATACAAGAAGTATTGTTCAATGAGTGCACGTAAAAATCTCATGTCAAATCCATTTAACTGGTTCAAAAAATAAATCATTACCATCGCTTGCAAATGCTCAAGATATTACCAACTGAATACTTTGTTCAATCGTTTCCTTCTAACATCTACATTTAAGTTTATACACCCTGTACCCTGTCATTCATTCCCCTTCCGTCCCCCACTTAGTATTACTGTCACTTACTGAAGAAGATTAGCTAGCTCAGCTAGTATAACCTAATACTTCCCATCTCCTCTCCCCCGCCCCCCCCCCCGTCTTCTGAGCGTGTATCATCCTGTGAATGACACTAATGTTTAAGCTATGATCACTTTCTCCCAACTATACTTCTGCTATCTCTCTCTCCACAGACTATCATCATCAAACTGTCAAGAATAACTAGCTTTAATCAAGACGAATTCGTGTTACTTTCCTCGTTTATCCGTTTTACTTTTCAAAGGAATTAAAACAGTCGAATTGCATGTTCCATTTTCACTTAAATGTAAAAGCTGATAAGGGTTTATGTATTCGTGTCTTTGCTTTGGCTGACATTTTTGTTCCATCCGTTTGCTAAAATTTTAAAGTGTGCTTACTAATGAATGAAACCAAAGCAAGCAAGCAAACAAAGAATAAATCTGCATGTATTAACTCATATTCATTGTTTATCAGTGAATATTTTGAGATAACTGAATTATTTCTTCAAAATCATCCAATCAGTTATTCTTTTAAATACCTTTTAGAACATGTCCTGTATTCAATGCAAATTCGCGGTTTACCTTTTCTTTGTAGAATTTGTTTATAATATTCCCTACCATTATTGTATTATTGACTAGATAGAACTTATAAACAGAGGTATTATATTATATGTTTAGACTTCGAAAACCTGATAAGAAATAGACATCAAATTTTGCGTTTCTCCCTGATGAACCCAATGGTTGATTACTTTTATTCATTACATTACATCTAAAGTACAAGACAAAAGAAAGATAGTTATGAGGATGTGACAGATGAATGCATATGTTTCACAATTGTTGAAGTGGATACCTGTAGCCTGTATTGTGAATAACTAAACTCACTTTCAAACTACATACCATAATTTATGTGACATCGTTGTAACAAGGAGATATCCTCAAACCCAACTATAAGTTTGCATACTAAAGCCCAAACTTCACTTTATTTCATAAATGAAATCGGATTTGAAGCCGTGCATCAGTAGTTGGCAACTCGAATTCTAGACTTCAAAGTCACAAAAATAACCAACTTCCTACAATATCTTTAGACCCATAGAGTCTTACTTGGACACTTCTAGGGTGAATTTAAATTCTGGATAGGTTCAAGAGTGTTGAACACTTCCTTGGATAAGCCTCTTATATAGTACAGAACATATGCTGAGGATTAAAATAGACAAACCCGTCAGATTTTCTTGGCAATCATGACGGTAACAATACACACTAACAAATCAAGCATCATAATAGCCAAACTAATTTGAGTTATACAACCCGGTTATACAATACCTTCTATTCAGAACTAAGTTACGGTTATGTGTGACCATTTCTGTTTCCTCATGATACATGACGCGATTTTGCTGATTGCATAAAACTCATTAGACCCCTTCACTCAAAGGGAGAACTCGTTTTTTGTAAGCGTCTGCAGAAGAAATTCTGCTTTATATAGCTTAGCAATCGTGAAATTTGAATCAAACATCCTCTGCTAATTCTTAAAAAGTAGTAACAGAATTCAGTCTATTTTGAACAGATTCTAGTGTCTTTCTTGTTTTTACCGTTAGTTTGATGAGTTTCTTCGTAAGAAAATGGTTACTTATCTGCCTTCTCGCCGTCCATCTTTGAAAAACAAACAAACGTATTTATTAAAAACAAAGATCTAAAAGGTAGTCAACCACATCACCAAAACTTGAATTCACTCTAACTCCACAGCTGTCCTCTAATGTGTGAAACTAAGGCATCAATGATGTGATTATCACCCCCTATAGAATAGTAATAACGCATTCCCATCCTCATATCCTTACTCTTTAATTTTTTATTTACGTGGACTGAGTGAATGAGCAGTATACTGTTCACTACTCTAAAACCTTCATATTTAAACAAACCAGTCAACTATTATTACTGTAATTACTTATCGTTAATAGTTGAGTTATCTAGAAGAGAAATCAGCTAATGGATGCTTTAACCAAATCTCCCCATTGACTGTTTTTATCTTCTAATTAGATGATGACGATGACAACGATGGTATAAAAGATCATCATGAAGCTAAGGATACAGACGGTGATGGCATTCCCGATTATTTAGATGACGATGATGATGGAGACGGTATACCCGATGTTGATGACGATGATGATGGTAAGTAGCTCCTTTATTTTTGAATCTTTAGACGTTTGGCAAAATATACTCCTAAAATTGAACATATATTTCAGCTGTTATTTGAAAAAGATGTTAGACATCTAGAGACAGCCACCTTTCGCAAACCTCGACAATAGTGTACTTGATTTATATCGTGAATAATGTGAACTTGTACTTCGTATGAAGAATGACAGTCGTCAAGGTTGCAGACACACCTTCTATGTGAATATCAAAGAATAATTAACAAAATTTTGTCGAATGCCTTCTCACCCTGAAAAGATGCCCACAGTGGCGCACGAGGTTACTGAAAAGAGGATTAATTTGACAGGAAGCTAGAGGTGGCCAAACTGAAGCATAACATCAGTCCATGAAGTCTTTGTTGGTCTGAACCGTGTAAAGCAAAGTGGGACTGGTATAGTCAAGACAGAAGAAATCAGTTATTGTATACTTTTGATAATATTGCTCAAAATCAATCACAACAGTACAGATGTACTCACTCCTTATTATCTTTAAAACTTTGAACATTTTCACCAGTTCTCATCAATAGGGTCCTTCTCCTATTCCGCTTTTTCAACTACTCTGTTGTCCTTGTTTTTTATACACTTATTCTTCACATGCTGTTGTAAAGTGTGGTAAGTGAAACTGATAAAGTTTTATGCAAGGTTTTAAATTGGTTCGTTGGTCTGACTAATACATCTAAGACGAGATACAACCAGCTGGTATATTGTGTCATTTGGCTTCGAGGACGTACTGCACAATTCAGCCAGTGAAATTCACTCAGCTCTAGAAACATAGTAGCGAATTTGATGACAAGAATACTCTTTATGCCTTGATTTGTTGTATGCAAAACATTTAGTTCTCTTATTTGATGGTAGTGTATTGGGCAGACACCAAATGGAGATTTTTGCAATTTCTTCGGCATAGTTTTAAAATTAACAAATCTATTGCTTATTAAAACAAGTAAATTAATTTCACTTCCCAAATTACCTTTGAAGTTGTGAATTTTACTGAGAGCGACACTTATTGTATGAGGGTAAGTTAAGCCAGTAGGCCGTGTAAACCTTGGTAAGCAAGTCCGTTGTCCAACATGTCATGTGTTTGTTGAAAGCTGAAGCAACTCTTATGTCAACGAGTCAAGAAAACTGAAAGGTCAAGTTTTGGCTTAGAGAATGAGAAAAAATGCCTCAACAGTTGTCAAGATACCTCGACTAAGCTGACCGGGTACTGTCGAAAAATTACTACAACTAATAATACTGTTCTGCCGCACACAGAGTGATGCTTTATTCTGATGATCATTCTTACCAGGATCAACAATTAGTTGCTTTATGTAAACAACTGAGTACCAAGAGCGGTGAGCTACAGTTCTGAACATGATAAAGCATACCATAGACGTATGCCTTGGAAGTACTGGTAGGTGATACTTGAAAGTATTGCGCATCAACGTTAGCCTTGTCATCAACCTTATCTCCAACTACAAAGACTTCACAACACCTTGTTGCCAAATTAAAAATGATTTTGATGTGATTAGATTGGTGAATATATCTTGTATAAAAGACTTTCAGCAACTGTATGTGGAAGTAGTTTATGATATCCATAAATAATCGGGTAAACGTTAATTTTAAAGATAAACTAGAGAAAGTCATTGATTGAAAGTAGTGCATTTCAAAATAAAAGCTATAAAATCAGACTATACCCGTTGCACAAAAAATGGCTATCATGACTCAAAAGCATGATTGATAATGCTCTGGTGTTTGAAGCAGTGGATACCAATGAGTATGGTGATGGGTACTAGATAGATTATTCATCCTAGTTTGAAATCCCTTGTAAAAAATTCATACGGATTGTATTCAGTAATGGTTGTGTTGTAATGCAAAGTGATTGATGTCCACACATGTATTACAATAGACTGAAAAATAACGTGGTTATTTAAAGATCTAAATTCCAGGTAATGAATGAAGTTATGAGCAATCCAGATGAATTCCGAGTGAAGGTAGAATATATGTCCACTATCACACATTTTCCGCTAGTTTCTAAAATATCACCATACTCTACTGCAACCTTTTTAAACTTCACTTTTTGCAGGATAAAATGTGATAACATTTTATTCAGTTCAATACTTACGTTTTCTTTGAGTTATCAGACCGACTTCTATAGTTTTTTGCCAGTTTATGCATTTTTTTCACATTGGCATACTTTGGTGTAATGAATAGTTTGTAGAAGTGAAGTACTCTTGAGTGTCACAATTCACTGAAGTACAGAATAAAGTGAATTTATACAGCTCGTGAGGAGAGTGTCTGGAAAGCACCATCCAAACTAATTACGTATGTGTTTCCCAAAAATACATCGAAAAACTGTCTACCATAGTGTCACATCACTTAGTTAGGTGGCCCCTGTTTGCAAACCTAGTAGCAGACCTGGATGAGTGTTAAGCAATATAGACTAGGTGGCTACATCGGCTAACTGATGGTGAACAATTCGTGTGAGTAGTCCAGTCTTATAGGGGGTTTGTCGTGGCCTAAATAGTTTGATGGCAGTTTCTGTAGCTTCAGCGCTGGGTGACGCAGATTTGAATAACCGATGAAGTACCAATTTCCTTATGGTCGCGGAAACACCTTGGTGATAAGTGCCACTAAGCCTAAAACCTACGTCCCAGGTTTCCTGGTGACTGACCCTCAACATCCAACACTGGAAAGTTGAAACTTCACATAAACGTGGATGAATAATTGCTAATTTATCTTGGTACTGGAAAACTCTATTAGAAAGCCACGTGTGTAACCTGGCTTGGAAACGAACACACGGACTGTGACTATCCCACTTATAACTAAACCGCTAAAGTACAGTAAGTTATGGATCTGCATTATGAATATAAATCACTTAAACTTGAAGGTCAGTTTTACTAGTTCAATATCTGTCTTTCCTGCATAAAAGCCTATTCATCTTATCCCATGACATAACTTCACACCCTTGTTGGCGCACTAAAGCTCAGGGGTGTCGTAACAGCAAAATTGACCAAAGAAACTTGTCATTTGTACTGATAAAGTGAAGGTCACCACAACAACAAAAACTTTAGTAACCAACTCTAGTTCTGGGTTTTATGAAATCTACCTCTCTTGTCAAAATAAAGAAATTTCATTGGTTATTTTAGGTGCTCCTATGGTAACTTTTAGTCACCCGATAAGGTGACCTCAAAACCCATCCAAACAACTGCACCTAATGTAGGTAGGATGCATTCCATTCGTTCTACATCTCGAATATCAACGTATGAGTGACTTTAAAGGCCACCCTAGTAACTGCGGAAATAACCAATCAGGTTTTGATTATTCCGTCTAGAAAGACTGTTTTCATAAAATACAGAAGTTTAATTGGTTATCTCTGCAGTTGCTAGGATAGCCTTTAAAGTCACTCCCGTTTTATGAAAAACCACCCTTCTAGATGGAATACTGAAACCTGATTGGTTATTTCCGCAGTTACTCTGGTGCCTTTAAAGTCGTCCCCACGTTATGACAATAGTACTAGTCTACTGAAACATGGCTACCTCAGATAGTCTCGCCAATTAGTCATAGGTGCAGCATTTAACACACAACTGATCACAAACTAGCTGAGTCAAACATCACACATAATTTTTGTTTCCTGAAGTAAACAGGAATTCCTTGAAGAGCCATATTGTGTATCCACTTGCAGACTCCCATCAGATTGTAAAAAATATCGAAATGCACTGAAAAACTATTTGCATATTCATGCAATAGGTGATGAGCAAAACCTCTTGTATAAGAACAAATGATACTACCTGGTTACCCAAACTATGGTAGAAGTAGTAAGTTTCAAAATGTTGACCTACTAGTTGATAGTCGAGTGTTTAGTCCGATAAGCCGCAACCCCAAGTCTCTAATTATCTAGGTGACTGTATAAAGTCAACCCATAATGAATAATTTATTTATTTGAAAGTTATTGACTTAAAATTTATCCTTCTTATTATTTGTCCTTCGGGTTCCCAGTACAACATAAAGCTTCACTAGCACGTCACCATTTCACTCTCTTCTCTACAGTCTTTTCAACCTGGCTCCACCACTGCATACAAGCTTTCATTCCTTCCTCACACCATCTCCTCCATGTCACCCTCAGCTCGGACAACCAACTCGTCGTTTCCCACTTGGGTTCCACTCGAGAGTTTAGTCTGACCTGGTACATGGTATCCCCAGTCGGTCTTCTCAGTGTTTGTGTGTGTCCCCAGTCCAGTCCAGTCCATCTCCACTTCCACACTCTTCTGCATACTCGTTGGGTGGTAGGTTCTTGGTTGGTTCGTTGCCTGCCAGTCAGCCAGCCAGCCAGCCAGCCAGAGTTCCTCCTTGCTTATTCTCATTATTCTGGCCTTCTGATATGATCTTCAGTGTCAGTGTCGAGTGAGTTTAGGCTGCAGCTGCAGCTGCAGCTGTTGATGTTGAATGTCTGTCGTTTGTTGGAAATGCTTCTCATAACGCACCACCAACTCTCTCTCTCAACCATCACATGGAAGCACTGACTGACTCACTTGACTGACATTAGTGTTGAAAATGCGGATGTTGTTCATGCTTTATGCTGAGTGTAGTGTAGTGTAGTGTAGTGCAGTGGAGTGGAGTGTAGTGCAGTGCAGTAGATCTCCACACTGATTATTTCAGATTGATGAAGGAAGGTGTGTCTTGCTGTCTTGGCAATCCTGGCTCTAACACACTCATCTGTACCTGTGCCGCCTCTAGTTGAGTAGATGCTGTCTGGGTAGAGCGGTAGGCGAAAGAGACAACTTCCTTTACACTCCTCCCATTCGTGGTGATTGGTGCTTGTTGTTGATGTCGTAGTTGTTGTTGTTGTTGTTGTTGTTGTTGTTTGGTTATCTTCATCACCTCTGTCTTCTCTACTTTCACCTGAATTCCCGTCCTCACTGCTCTGCTTCACCTCTTCTGCCAACTTGTTAGTTTTCGCCTGTAGATCTTCGTGTTTGTGCGAGAAGACATTAGACATAAATCATCATCGACGAAATCTAAATCTTCTTCTGTGGTTTTTTCATCGGTGAAACAGCGTACACCCCTTTTCTCGTTCCTCACAGTTTGTTGTATGATGCAGTCCAGTCCACCACAATCAGGAAGATCGTCGGTGGTAGTGAGCACAATCAAGTTAATCAATCACTTTTTGTATACTGGCTTTCTGCACGGGAGTTATTGTTGTTTAGCTTAAAATTTACACAAATATATGAATGTAAAGATATGGGAGTTCCTGCAAACTCGTAAACGCTCAACAAATGTGAAATGGTCTTTTTCAAGGATACGAACTGAAATCAAGGTGATGAAAATAATGATTTAGTTACGGAAGGAAGATGAAAGATAACAGATGAAATCAAGGTAAATGATAACAGTAATACTGTTAAATGCTTCGATTTATCTTGCAGAAACACTCAAACCAAAGTTTCTTTAAACTCATCATCAAACCGTATCCACAATTTTGAAGTGACTCATTTCTCTCTAGGGACTCCAGCCAATATTAAGTGCCAAGTCCAAAGACTTATTCCACAAGCTCTTCAAGCTATTCGGTATCTGGTAACCTCGGGAACTAGAAGATGTGCACGAACTAGTCACCGGACAGCCTAACACTCAAAGCGATGAAACTTGCTTCATCCCTCCTGACTGGGGAATCAGTTCTTAGAAAGCAGTCACCGATTGACTCCTGAACCTGATAGTTGTCTGTTAACCACATAAGCAGTATGTGCTGAAATGCTTGAGTGCTGCCATTTAAGCTCGATGCGAGGAGAGTTGATATTAGTCGAGCGATGAGTGTGAGATACGGCTGAACTTAGCTGGATAACCGAGGCCAGGCCCTAGTTCCCATCTCTGATAAAGGGATAAGAGTAGATATCCGGGACTTCAGGGCATTTTCTGTTAGTAGGAGTGCATAGGTTGTTTTCATGTGCATGCACCTAATTAGAAGCCGTCTTCATGGTCAGTGACGTTGGGTTGACCAGTGAAACTAGATAAGGCCTGTAAAATCAAATAACCAGATAGAAATCAGTTTTGTTTTCTATGCCTGAATGGTGATTATGGCTTAATTATCAAGTGTGAAATGTGATCACTATGAATATGATAACCTAAGCAACACGAATCCGCTCCAAAGTTCCACATCACAGTATCAAGGTGAAGAACCTCTACAAGGTACGGTTAAGTACTGTTGAGTTTATTTTCGTGGTTCGTGAAAATGGGGTAAACATTTGCGCCAAGGATTGAGGGCGAAGCCCAGTTAGGTAAGACAGTGAGTCGCGATTTACAATATCCATATGTACAAGATCGGTGGCGTAGATTTCCAAAGTGTGGACGATTTTGTAAACCGTCAGGACTCCATTCAGTTAGCTGGGACTTGCGCAACCGAAACGTAAATGAATCTAGCTCCATAATTTCAGTATTGTTGTTAAAGTGATCCCAAGAGATGGAGTGTAGTTCACCTTGCGAAAGCGAAACAGAATTCGGACCCGAATTCCGGTACTGTCAGCCCTAGCTTTGGCTGCATATCAGCAACCCAAAGATAACCACTGCCTCGAATTTCTTGGTACTCGCTGCCAAGCCCCTTACAGGAGTGTTTTTTCGGGAAGATTGAACCGTATTTTGTTGTTGTGTTGAATGTATCCCAACTCAGTCTAATAAGCACAAGAATGGAATGATAATCGAATTTCCCATGTTGAATAAACAGCTGTTAATTTGCTTCGTCGGCATATGTACTTATGCCAAGCTGCTATCAATAAATAAATTTTTCTAGTCATATGATATTCATAACTATTGTTTATATGTAGGCTGTCCAGAAACTTATATAGAGTAGATAATAAGACTTGGGATTCTGATTTATTTCTTCTTATTGACTTTGTTGTTGCCAACTGTTTTGAGCTATGTGGTTTAGTTACCCGATAATAACATATTTGGTGGGATATTTGGAAGTACTTAACCGGATCCAGTATGAGGTCATGAATACACACTGCAGAAGAACTCCAAACTACGACGAAGCAGTTGACTAGTGTTTGTTGGTTTTCAGTAGTTTTGTTGTCCATGTGCAACCATGGTGACAACTCCAGATCATTAGGTACTCAAGTAAAAGACGATCACTTATTACGGCAAAGAAACAGCACACTTTTAAATAAAGCTCGTTAAGTTAAAATGAGGCTAATAATGACCGATCTAAAATATAGCCCTAGTGAATGAAGTCTCTATTTATCCAAAATATATCAGGAAGTGTTTGGGCGCCGATGGGAGATCCCAAGCTGTTAAGAACCAATTTTTATGACCGTCGGTCACAATGGCCCAGATGAACGCAAACAGAAAATTTGGATGCATAACCAATCAACTTTATCAGTTCTTCCGCTCCTCTCTGATCTATTTGTTCTTTTAATGTTATTGCTTGTATTATACCTTCGTTGACTGGACCGAATTGATTGTTGTCTATTGGCATATGGGCTCCTGCGTGGATGCTTCGATATGGCCTGTGTTGTTAATTATATAGTAATGTTGGATTGCGGCTAGCAATGGAATCCAGTATGCACATTTTGTCCCATTTGGGACTCCTCAGCTGGATGTACCTGCCTCCCAGTGAATTATGTTCTTCCCACCGGGATTCGAACTCGGGACCAGTCGCTTCAAACTCCAGAGTATTATCCACTAGTGGATTTTCGATATCTTAATGTTTTGATATTTACTTATTTCTGGTATAATTTGCTTAGTGATAATTAGTAGTGGAATACAGAATGAACGTCTCCCATTTGTGACTTGTCAATAGGATGTTTCTCCCTTTCAATAAGTGATCGTGTTTTCACTGAGAGTCGGGTTCACCATCCATCGCTGCAAATGATCAAACATTATCCCCTGGACTGACCGGTGCTGAGAACCACTTCTCGTACAGTGGGTACCAGTTGTTATTTATTGTTACTTGTAACTTACTAGATTCCACCGCTAGCCAAAACTAAGTAAAATACATCACAACGAATCTTCTGGCAATGCCGAAGTATCCGCATCGAAGCCTATATACTAACAGAGGCCAGTCAATTTAATCCAGTATAACAATCAGTAGGAAATTACAAGTACTAATGAATTTGTTTATTTCCTTACAGTTTAGAAAGATGTAATCTTGAACAGATCTACTTCTATATGAAGTTCCGCTTTGGCTTATATCACTTCCTACACTTAAAAATAAATTGTTAACTTACATTTCATGGAATGAACCTGAAAAACCCGAGGTAACTATACTTTTGTCTTACCTGTTAGGAGTCAATCAGCAGGACACCTTGAATCTGGGTTTGGGCTTATTAACTTTCATAGGCAAGGTGATAGTGAAGCGCCAAGAGAGAACCATTGTGCCTTCAGCTGTTCCAGTCTTCATCACCTGGCGCCGAAGTTAGAGACTTTTTCACTGGGTCATTCAGACTATAATTTTACCCTACTGCTTACATGCACAAAGAACTCCTTATCTCCAGCGCAAAAATACCGTACAGCATAGTGTTACGCCACTTAGCCACATTGCAAACTTGATCTGTTATTCCTCAAACCCTGAAAACTATACACCTACATCGGTTACACCATGGTAACCAATTCGTGTTGAAATCACTTTCTTTCCGTTATCATATCCAGCATAGTTTAAAAGCTTTTTTGTGCGGCAAATAATAACTTAAATCCTGTTTCCAACCTAAAATGAAAATCAATCAGTAGACCGTTAGTCAGAAGGTAACCTGACCAACAATGGACTGGACGGTTGAAAAAAACTTGGACACCGAGTTAGTATGGTTCATTGTATAGGGTGTATTTTTACTTTTGTAATCCCAGCGTAGTATATTAGAACAAATAACAAAACAAATATTTTGTACTATTCCCCAACGTTTCGATCTTGCTAGGAAGATCCTTTTCAAGAGTATGAATCCGATATTAAGTTTTCCGGTTAATATTCAAGTTTTGGTACAAAAGGTGGTGACCATTGCAATCATCCAATTACATCGTGATATGGAGCAAAGATCGATGTAATACAGGTGAGTGAATAAGCAACTCGGTCAGAGAGGCTTTTTTCAGTTGGAACAAAATAAGGTGGGGAAAAATTTAGTTCTTCTATGAAAAGTACAATGGGATTGTGAATCATCAAGGGTGATAAAGGATAGGTTACTAGTTTGGAGGGATGAATATTTGAACATCAGACTATATACACTAAATTAATATTTTGATTTTTTTTTTACTAACTCCTACTTTCCTTTTTATTGATTTCAGTGAAAGAAAACAAACCGCTATCTAAACCAACCCCACCCAAGTCTCAACCACCAGCGAAATCGAAACAGACAGCACCGCCAAAAAAAGTCCATGGACACGTGACCAATCATAAACATGATAACAATGAGGATGATGATGATGATGATGATAATAGTGACAATGATGACGATGAAGATAGTGATAGTGACAAGAAACCATCCAAAAGGAAAGACAGTGGTATCGTTATCGATGATGACGATGAAGATGATGAGACAGATGACGCTGAACATATGTCTAAAGCCCGATCTATTGTTTTGTCCATATTGAAACGTATTGAAAATATTTTCGGTGTTGAAGATAATAATGATAACGATGATGATGATAATACAGAAGGAACTCATGATCATTAGAAAGAACTTTATTTCCCTTCTTTTTTTATATGGAAAAAAAAGAAACATAAATAATTGAAGGAAAAAGAGATAGATTTGGTTTAAATTAGGTGAAAAACAGTTAGTTATTTTCTTCCTTTTTAGTGTTCATATCTGGTTCATTCATTGGCTCAAGAAATATACTTGATTTCACCTTCTCTATGTGCATCGGTTATGTACAATTGTATGATTTCTTTTTGATCATAAAAAGGCACAACTCAATCTCATCTATCCAAGAGCCTTGAACACTCCGCTTAATAGCTGTTATTTTCGTTTAACATCACTTTTGTTTTATTTTTGTTTTCGAGTCATTTAAATCATACCCAATTTGTATGTTTTGTCTCTTTCTATTGTTTTAGTTTGTTTGTGGTAGAGATAGAATTTTTGGAAACAAAGATAGAGTTTAATCTACATAAATGTATACATACAAGGAAAATATGGTAGAGAATACACTTTTTTAAATGAGCCAATAGAAAAATCAGAAAAATAGATTGAATCTACCTTGATTTTTCATTTCCTGTTTTATTTTGATTGATTTCGTTTTTGGGATTTTTTAGTTCAACTAAATTATTCGTTATATATACCCACCTCATTATGCTCTATCATCACTTCGACCTAGTTATTCATCGATTTTCGATGGTGATGATAATGATCAATAAATCGAACTTGTTCCTCTCTCTTTCTCCCCTTTTGTCCTTTTTTTTCTTCTTCAACTATGTATTTACTCCTACACAGTATGATTTCTCACTATTCATCATGTTGTTGTCGTTTAACTTTTCCCCTTGTTCTTTTTATTGTTCACAGAAATTCAGTATACATCCAGGAATATAATATTATTTAGCTGAGTTCAGATAAGGATTCTTTTAATGCCTTTACTTGAAATAAACCTCCGGTTTCTTTCTGAAATGGACTTTTGGTTGGTCATTTCATCAAGGGGATTGTTTTGGATATACAGGTTTACAAGTTATCGCTATTCCAATATTTACTGTCTTACAATCAAACCATTGCTAATTATCTACGTCTGCATGCACCATTTCCAACAGACAGGGTTGAAACCACAATAAAGGGTGTCAATATACTCTGTTTCAAGAAAGAAATTCAGAGAATAGTCAAGAGGTCGTACAACATGTCGGATTATATTGAAGAATTAAAATGTAAGATGATACAAAAAGTTAGCAATGATTATAAACTTCTGATCGATAACTGTAATAAACTAAGATCTACAACTTTCAAGCAATCCAAAACTACTCAGATTAAGAAGTTCACAAATCTAATGAAAGAAAAGTATGTAGTAGCCAATACCACACTATCACTGATCGGTAGATCAAAGTGGACTGTAAATCTCTCAACCGACATCTTAAGTTCAGCAGAAGTAAAAGTGTTAAAGAAAGGCTTTAAATTCAGTGTAGCAGTTAGTGAAATGAAACCTGTGAAATGACAGTCCCAAAATTGAAGTAGCATGCACCACATAAGACAGTTGCAGATCAGGTACGAGAACAGAAATAAGGAAATCAAAATAAACTTAACACAACCAGAAAGCTTTGAAGGATCTTTCAAGTGATAACAATATATTAATCGCCAAATCGGTTAAAGACAACTCAAAGATTGTAATGATACAGTTTCACTGTGGGACACATCTAAGAAACAAACTAAAATGAGATTTTTGAAGTCATAGGTAGACTATACTGTACCCGTCGAACAAGGGTGTGGCTATCCTGACCCAGTGGCTTGATAAGTAGCGCTCAAGCATTTTAAGCCGTCGGTTCTGGTTTCGAGTCTTCGTTAGAACGACATCGCTCACTGAAAGGCAAGTAAATCCACTTAACGAGCCCCAAACGGGAAGAAACATGGTTTGGAAGTGTTTATATATAACAAAGATTCATGTTCACCAACTTGTTTACATCCAATCATCAACTGGTTATCCGCTGCGATTAACGATGTTCAGCAGATACCTCATTCACAGTTAGATTTTAAGCGTTGAGTTTTCGATTATCTATATGTCACGTGAATAATTCACCAATGATAATAAACCTATTATCAACTCCATTTCAGCAGTAGGCATCTGTATCTGCCAGTCAAATGAACAGCATATAATTATTTGATCCCGTATAAACTGAATGAATGCTGTTAAGTATCTGTAGAATTACTTTGTGAAATATTTGATCAACTAAGTGATATTCTAATCTAATAAGCAGAAAGAGGGACCTGACAATATTATATATAAAATAAACAGGTTACTATATGGGAAGAGATCAAGGCGGATAAAACCAATGAAAGATACTGAGGGAAACTTAGTTAAAGGAGAAACAAAGTAACCTATGGGCTGACCACTTCAAAAAACTCTTGAATCAACCACTACCACCACCTGCAACTCATCTAGAAATATCACCAGAAGCCAAAGAACTATCAGTAAATAAGCACAATCCCACCGACAATAGCCGCAGTGAATTCCTGAACGTCATAAAGTTGCTGAAAGCAGGGAAAACAGCAGGACTAGATGCAATTCCTCCAGAAGCCCTGAAAACAAACGCAGAGACAACAGTGGACATGCTCACAGCACTATTGCAAGCAAGGAAGGAAAGGTACCTGGAGATTGATTGGAAGAAAGGGTACCTTGTCAAACTCCTAAAGGAGGGCGACCTTAGTCTTTACAAGAAATGGCACGAAATCATGCTCCTGTCCCTCTCCATCTCAAGCAAAATATTCAGCCACATCGTCCTGGAGAGACTAAAAAAAATGCTCTGTATTCAAAGATACAACCGGAACAGGCCGGCTGGCTTCAGGAAAAACAAATCATGTGTGGATCAAACTGCAACAATACGCTACCCATCATCATAGAACAGAGCATAGAATGGCAGTCAACTGGATCTTCACCTCAACTCCATCGATTATTTAAAGGCCTTCGACAGCGTTGACCGAGAAGTAATTTGAAGACTGTCTCAACACTACGGTTCTAGTGTCACAAACCTTTATCAACCTCATTCAACACCCATATCCTATGCTACATGAGGATGCTACATGCCATATGATTCATAATTGGAAGCTCAGTGATGTCTTTAGAGTGAAGTGAAGACAAGAGTAAGACAAAGTTGCCTGCTATCGTCACCTATGATCTTCCTGATTGTGGTGGACTGGACTGCATCATACAACAAACTGTGAGGAACGAGAAAAGGGGCGTACGCTGTTTCACCGATGAAAAGACCACAGAAGAAGATTTAGATTTCGTCGATGGTGATTTATGTCTGATGTCTTCTCACACAAACACGAAGATCTACAGGCGAAACTAACAAGTTGACAGAAGAGGTGAAGCAGAGCAGTGAGGACGGGAATTCAGGTGGAAGTAGGGAAGACAGAGGTGATGAAGATAACCAAACAACAACAACAACAACAACAACTACGACATCAACAACAAGCACCAATCACCACGAATGGGAGGAGTGTAAAGGAAGTTGTCTCTTTCGCCTACCGCTCTACCAGACAGCATCTACTCAACTAGAGGCGCCACAGGCACAGATGAGAGTGTGTGTTAGAGCCAGGATTGCCAAGACAGCAAGACACACCTTCCTTCATTAATCTGAAATAATCAGTGTGGAGATCTACTGCACTGCACTCCACTGCACTACACTACACTCAGCATAAAGCGTGAACAACATACATCTGGAATCGGTGATGAATCATCTTTGTTGAAAGTATTAGGCGTCGAATCGATTAACAGAGATTCAGCAATTACCCTTCCTGTCCACTTAACTAAATCAATCGTTTTGGACAGTTACTCTGTCCCAACCTATTATGTGGTTTTATGTTAGAACATACGTCAATATGGCTGAATTTCTCTTTAGATTACTTATCAGGGTCCATCTATCTATCTGGAACCAGCTAGGTTACTATGTTCTGTCAATCTGACTTGCGTCGAATGGCTATTTTGGCCCATTTAACTGACCTCATAGGTGTTCCAAGGTGTTTGGTAAATTGAATTATGTCTGATTCGGTTAACAGAATCTTGATGCCGATAAATTTGGTCTCAGAATGGATTTGCAGATTTGAATGCCACCATTATCTCAGGCTCACTGAGAATCCTATGTAGAACTTTGATTTTCTATCCATATATGACTTCGAATTCCTTCTTAGCCCAGTTGCTATCTCAACTCATATCATCATCTTTTTTGTTTCCATGCTTCTTTCTGAATTTCCAAATAGATTTAAGAGGATAACTGTTAAGAAGTTAAGCTCCTCTTTAGCGTTTCATTTCTTCAGTTAAATGTTTTGACATACTGGTTAGACATCTAGGTCGATTGGTCAAACATTTAACTAAACCCAGCATCACTGACTTCGAATGAAGTGACCTAAAGTCTGGATATCCATTGCAATGAGATGGTTTTCCTCAAACACTTTTATCTAGACAGCCATTTGGTCTTCTGTTTATTTCACAATCTAAGAAGGATAATATCCTTTGTTCATCTAACTCGAAAGTAAATTTCATCACATTCACAACCGAGTTTATGTGTATGAAGAAGCCATAGATATATTCGGATTATATAAACCAAATCTTCAAGGTAGGATTAAATGTTTAGAGAAGCATATATTCCTAACTATTTAGCTAAAAATTTGCTGTGAATGGGTATATTGGTGCTCCTATTGCTACTCCTTCCATCCGTTTACATACTTTATCTTTAAATTTGAAAACTGTACAGTTTAGAAACACTTTAACTCCTGACCTCATGTCTTTAGTCAGTAAGTTCTGTAAGTGAGCTATTGAGTTTACTGCTACTTCTATACGAAGAATGACACTTTCGAGGGTTTCTATTCCCTTTTTGCTATGTTAAAGGCTAGTCTGTCATTCGGTAATTGGATTTCATTTGAGCCTAATGTTCTAGTTGAGAAGTTGATCACCCACATTTTTCTGTCGACGGTTGGTGGTTTCTCTCTTCTCAGTAGATTACTTTTCCACCGTCGCTTTGTTGAACTTCATAATTTAGCATGTACTGAATTTATTGAAAGCCTCTAATCTCGTTTTTTTGATGTTTCAACTAGAATTTCATAGTCTCTGTTGTTTAGTGTCTCCATCAGTCTACATTTTAGTTGCTTCATTTCATTTCAGAAAGCAGACAGTATTTTGAGAACCTAATTCAACTTTTCTGTCAGATCCCAATCACTGACATTTTCTGTTATTGCTTTCACCTTGTCTTTTGGTACTGGTATGCGTAGACGGAAATATTTACATACGATTTGATTTTTAATAGATGGAGTGTTTAAAATACGATGATTAGTGATTCTAGCTTCATTTCGGCGGAGTAGTGTGAGTTTGCTGACAGGACTTCAAACACGAAGATTATATGTTAGTTGGATGGAGGAAGTCGGCAGAAAGCTCTCCCACACCAAGGTTGTATGCTCACTGGCACTCATCAGTAAGGCGTGTCTGCAGAAACTCAGAGGAACTGATATCCTCTCTGAGATTTTAAACCCCTTTCAGCCAATGCTGGAGTTAGAGACGTTACCACTGAGCTATTCCGGGTCACATGCACGCATAGTGTGTTATTTGAAATAAACTAATGTAATGTGGAGATTCATAATGCCTTAGTGTCCAAATTCTGTACTTATCCTATAGTGTTAGACATGAATGAATAAGCAGCGATTTATGAAGTGATTATACCTCTTACTTTGAAGTCGATTACTAACAAAGTTAGTTAGGATATCCAACAATCCTAAGGGACCAAATAGGAAGCCTATGAAGATAATATTAATGGTTTAAAATAATCTATGGATTAATATGGTGATTTTGGATATTGGACAAACTTACCCTCTTACTAATCTTCCCCTACCTCAGCTGCCACTCTATATGTGGCTAGACAGTGAGCAAGCAAGTAGCATTCAGCAGCCTTCAAAAAGAAAATGACGAAAATCGTTG